GCTATTTATTATAAAAGATTTCATAATAGGCTTGCAACTCATTCAAATCCTTTAGTGAAAACACTCTCATCAATTGTTATTCCGGGAAATCCTCCTAGGCGATTAAAACGCAACTGGTGCAGAGATATGCTGACTTAAAATCATAACATTAAAAAATAAAAATAAAAATAAAAAAAAAAAAAATAATAAAAACAATCAATAAATATACTATATAGATGTATCTATAAGAAAACTTATGTATAACCTCAATTTATAAGTGTCATCACTGGGTGGCTGCTTTTATCAAGCTATTCATGTTATTTTATTATATATTAGCTAATACTCTTGTTGTGCCGATGGGGTACAGATTGTGTATCGAATAATAAAGGAAAAAAAAAAAAAAAAAAAAAAAATTAATAGTTGGCGTACCTACTAATATAATCATATAATAATTATTTTTATGTTACGTCGTTATCGTCGACGGATGGCGACGACGCGACAAAAATAACCAAAAGTTAAACCAAAGTAAAAACCCATAATATAAAATTAATATTCTCTTTCTCGGTACCTACGTACCAAGTTTTTTTGACTTTTTAAATTTTTTTCTCGGGGGAGGTCGAGACCCGGGAACCCCCCCGTAAATACGCCACTGAGTATGCATCACTATACTACATCACTAAGATAAAATTTAAAAAATTACAAAAATGGGTATAAAGGTCAAAGGTGTGTTAAACATGTTTGTTGATTGTATACATATCAATATATATATAATCAAGGTTAACCTATAATAAAATAATAAGTTTAACTTTTATTAACCTAAATTTACTTATTGTAAAAAAAAATTACAGATTGTTTTTTTATATTGCTTTCTCTAATAAAAAAAATAAAGCTGTATTATTATTTTAAATTTAAACTTTGTATTATTTACAATTAATCATTGGCTTAGGACGGAATTAAACATAAATAAAATTGTATATTTCTAAGTATTAGATAGAATAAACTATGTAGATTTTTGTTATTGTGACGCTGTTCAATGATTATATTATTACTGTACGTATATAATGACGCGCATCCTATATTAATCACCAATTGTCAATATTTGTGATGATAATGATTGAAAAAGAATTTCAAATGATGAATCATGTAAAAATATCGGTCTATATTACCAAGCTTACAAATTATATATCATCTATTCTACATCATTGTCAACAGAGCCCAACTTAGGAAATATGAGCCCGGAGCAATATAATCTTAGGGGCCTTTAATATTTGTTTAATGTAATTTAAAAATTACAGTCAACATTAAAATAACATTATTGCATTAGTGAACAAAAGTTTTATTTACAGACCAAAAATTAATTGTTAATACTCGTATTATATTTAAAAATAATTATTAAGTACCGGTAAAAATGAAAAATATTAATTATTTATTAATGTTTACTAAATTACATAAATAAAAATTTAAGTCAATGGTTTCTTTTGAGATTTTAGTTTACTAAACTTCTGAATTAGATCTGAAAAATCCAGTGTGTCAGTTATTTTCCTTTCAGCAGATAGACGAACGAGTGAGCTTAATTTTTCTTGGTTTAACTTGGTTCTTCTGGCGTTTTCAATAATTTCTAATTTTGAATTTGTTCTTTCTGCTTCACGATTCGAAATTGGCAAAGTTAAATAAATTCGTAGAAAAAAGCACACATTTGGAAAGACTTATTTTAAATTATTTTTATGTACATATAAATGAATATTTTGAAGAGTAATTATTGGTAAATTTAACTGCATTACATAATTTGAAAAGTGCACAATCTCTTGTTTAATTTTAGTTATATCAATATCATCTTTAAATGTGCTAATGAATATGTCGGCAGAAGTCTCTCATAATAATTTTGAACCAAATTTTGTAATATACCCAAAAATATTACAAACATTATCATATGCGTTTAATCTTTTATCAAGTTCAGTTACTAAACGATAAATAATAACGTAAAAAGTATCAATCTCTAACTTTCTTATACCACAAAAGTTTGAATTTCTCTCTATTGTACCATCCGAGAATTTTTTATTTCTTACACTTTTTTCAACACAGGGCAGAATATTTGTTGATAATACCCTTGCTTTTTTTCAAAATATATATACTTCTCTCTTAATGAACTGACATAAGTTTTTAATTCTTTCAATAAATTTATGGTTGTAAATAAATCTATTTCCGGTTTTTAAAGGTATTTACTAACACTGTTAAACTGCGATCAATTTTCAATCCAAATAACTGCCATAAAAGTTGTTTTAAATTTTATCATTTTATTTTTCATTGATTTAGCCTTGTGACGATTTTCTTGTTTTTCATTACAATTTTCAAAAATATCTGTTAATGTACATATTATTTGGTCATAATTTAAGATAATAGCTTTACAAGACTCTGCGTGATACTCCTACATAGTATTACTAAAAGTTTTCAAAACGATTATTTTATTTTTCTCCTCCGATTTTAGACCAGTCAAAAGCAAATTCCATCTATGTGTTCTATGTGGAGTAGAATCTAAAATTAGACCGAAGTATTTAGTTTCTTGTAACTGTATAGTTATTTCTAAATAAAACTTCATTTGTCATTAGGTCAATTATTTCGTTACAAATTCGCATTGAAAAATGAGATACATTGCCTGATCCTTTATTATAACGCGGTAATTCATATGTTGTTTTAAAAAGTGATCAAATTCGAAAATAACTTCAAGAATTCCGAGAAAATTTCCATTACTCGGAGAACCCAATTGAGAGTCATTACCCTCAAATGCTAACCCACGAACAGCCAAAATTTTAACAACAGATACTACACGGTGCAACACTTAAACCCAATACTTTTTGTCATTCAACATTTTTTCGGCCATAGTTTTGTCTATACGATGTTTAGTGTTTTCACGATCTAACCAAGTTAACATTGATTCACGATAGTTTTCACTATTTCCATGTTCTTTAACTTTTTCATAAGTTTTTTCCAATTGTTAAAACCAGGATTAATAAAACTTAAATTATTTGATTTATTAAATAATTTACAAACAAAACAGTTAACGTTGACAGTGTGTTCAGAAAACATAAGCCATTTACGTGAGTGTATTTCACTATTAGGCAATTTTAATTCGAATAATGAGATATTTAACGAGCGATTATAATTGTTGGTACTTGTTTGTTATCGCCCCGCCAGTACACCGTATAAAATTTATCGCCCCGCCACTCTTGTTTGTTATCGCCCCTCCAGTACATCGCATAAAAATTATCGCTATTGCTAATCGTTTGTGATCTATTTTAGAAAATGAGAAAACTACATTTTATCATTTTTATGATACAGAATATTAGTTTGTTGCTGGCATTCGTTTACCATTTCATTTACTTATTACCTACTACTGAGAAATTCGAAAAAATTAATTTAATACGTTAAAATGAATTTTACTGAATTACTTACAATTGTTTCAAATAGTGATACTGGAATTAGCTTTTTACAACAACATAATATAATTAAAGTTAGTGAAGTGTGTGAAAATGGCCATATAATGTTTATCAAGGGATAGCGATGGCGATGTCAGAAAAGAAGTTGCCGAAAGGAAAAAGGATTAAGAATTAATAATTGGCTAACTGGTTCTAGACTACCAATACATACAATTGTCCATTATCCAATACCTAAAAGGTTCAAGAGGATCTATCTCCTATATTTTCCGTGGGTAGGCCCCTAAGGGGCGGCAATTTTTCATAGCGTCGAGACGCAAAATGTCTAAATACAGCACTGAATAATATATAGGTATCTATAATGTACATGTACATGAAAGTATAATGCTAAACAATTGTTTTTGCATGGTAAAATATATCTTAAATATTAATAAATAAGTAGATAAATGAATATCATTATTTATATTTTATTTACATTATTAAGAATATAAAGTAGTTATTGACCAAAAGGCTACAAATAATTTTATACACTCGTAAATCTGCTATTAATCAAACTTATTCAAAAATGAATAATTGTATCTTATAATATTATGGAAAGTTTTGGTTTATTTCAAATCACCAATTAAATTATAACAATAAATATAAAAATGGATATTGATATATTACAAATTAACAAACTCAAAGACCGATTTTAGCACGATTTTTTGCAAAATTTTCTGCGTTATCCGAAGAAAGTGTAATGTCGTTGAAATCCTTATAAAGCCCCATACTACTACCCTCGAAACCCAAATTTTAGAAATTATAGTTACAACTCGTTGCGCAAAAATGCACAACTCGATTGAGCACATATATTTTGGCTACCTGTGACGAAAATCCCTAGTATCGAAACTCGTTTGTTTTTTATCGTTGATTATTATATTCCTCATGATTATGAGAGTTGGTTGTTTTTATTAGTTTGTTTGATTTATTAACAATAACACTCGCAGGATATTTTTTATTAAAATTTGAACACCCACTCATTAAAACACAGTATTCACTAAATTTATAATTATCAACATTAAAACATTGTTTTCCTCACCGAGATTCAAAAATAATAGAAATTTCTACGCCATATTAAAGCTTACATCGTCAACACACTTAGTCACCACTGTACCGTCCATATCCATAGTTAGGGACGTTGTGATACTACCGATACCAACAAAGTATCGATACTTTTCTACTTTACGCATAGTAGTAGATAGTAACGTCATTAATCGTCGACATCAGATAACAAGTAATCCTATATTAAAATACTTTTTTTTACTAGCTGATCCAGAAATGTTTTTCTATTGCTAGATTTCATTATGTTACATTATTTGTACGTAAATTTCCCGCTATTTCAAAGAGTTCCTGAACTCTGTAGTGTCTTAACCTCTTTGGAATAACAACAATTGAAATTTTGTATGATAACGAGTGATAAATTCCACGTTACTACTTTTGGGTTCAATTCTTTTGTACCTCGGGTCTTTTGCCCTCTTCTCACTGCCCTGACCGTGCGTCAGTTGTTGGCCCATCGACTATTTTTTGTCAATTTTTCTCCAAATATTCGTAATGAAGATCTTCAAAGATATTTTCTCTGGTGACGAGATGTTCTCGGACACATATAAATACAAATTGGTCGATGGCGTCTTGTACGAGGTTTACGGCAAGCTGATCACCAGGAAGCTGGGCGACGTAACATTAGATGGCGCTAACCCTTCAGCTGAGGAAGCTTCTGAAGGTACCGAAGAAGCCGTCGAGAGTGGCGTGGACGTAGTGCTCAACCATAGGCTCATGGAGACGTATGCATTTCCCGATAAAAAGTCATTTACTCTTTATCTAAAAGAGTACATGAAACGATTGGTGGACAAAATGAATGAAAATGGTAGCACTGAAGTTGAAGTTTTCAAAACCAACATAAACAAAGTGAGTTTCCTTTTATTCATCAAATATAATTTTTTTGTCGTCAATTTTTATTTACTGTATTTAACTTATCCAGGTGATGAAAGATCTGTTGACGAGATTTAAGGATCTCCAATTCTTCACTGGTGAAAATATGGATATCGAAAATGGAATGGTTGCTATGCTTGAATATAGGGACATTGGAGATGACAATGTTCCAGTATTGATGTTGTTCAAACATGGGCTTGAAGAAGAAAAATTCTAAACTTATTACTCGATTCTTTGTTAATTTTATTTACAATGTATTCGTTTAATAAACAAAATCAGCTAAACCAACTACATTAAGCGATATAAAAATAATTTTTTAAAACAAATTTGTTGTAATTTTATTTACCTATTCATAATCACAATTGTTTAAATTTTTTTACTTAAAAAGGAATTGGTTCTTTGAGAGATAACTTCTTAATTTTGTGATTAATTCACATTAAACTTTAAGGTTAAAACTAAAGTTACCTATTTACATTTTAGATTAAAATGAATAATTTATGTTTGGTTATCATTTGATACATAGAGCGGTACATATAACATATTTAAGAAGTTTATATGGTACCTTAAATAACATGGTTAACAATATATTATCAATACATAAATTAAAATGAATTTTTTTTTTATGATTTTAGAACAAATAAAGTCAAATATAATTTGATATAATTTAATTTTCTCATTCTTTTACTTCATAATGACATTTTTGAAATAAACTTTAATAATATTGTTTATGTGCAATTTTTACTTTTGATTACATCATAATTTTAGCGTGCTAAACAAAGCATCTTAGCAATGCATCTTTGAACATTACATATTCTATTAAGCACTAATGAGCTATAATATAAATTATAATTAAGAATATTTATCATTGAAAATTAAATCAATGAATATTATCTTTTAAAATAATATAACTCAATTAATTTTTATAATTTAATACAATAATTTCAGTACAAGTTATAGAAATGATGACAATATAGGATAATTAGGATAATAATAATAGCTCACAAATAAAATTGATGTAAAAAATTCTAATGGTAATAGTTGAAAATCAGCAATATTTAGATTGTAAAGACAATATTTCTATTTTTTTTTATGATAAAATGTTTTATTACTGATATTTAATATGCATTACTCTATTCATATATTATGAAATATAAATTATAATTCTAGTTCTGAAAAAAAAAAAAAAAAAAAAAACAATTGATTCAGAAATCTAAATTTTTTTTAAATCGTATTTCAATTACAATAACAAAAATCCACTAAAATACAATGAGAAATACTATTTAATGTTCATCATGAGGTATAAATGGTTTTCCCCAGCGTTTTTCCCACAAAGCAATGTACTCTTTTTTACGTTCTTCTCTTTTGGCAAAGTATTTTGGATATTGAGCTTTTTCTAATGGATGCCAACTATCCAAAACCCAGTCTGGAGGGAAAACATCACGTTCAAATGCTGTTCCACCAGGAGATGACGGGACTAAAAAAAAAAAAAATAACAAATGTATAATATTTTTTATAGTATATAAACAATGTGTAGACAGAGCTTGCCAAAAAATGCCAAAAATCATATAATTATATAAATAAATAACTGAAACTTCCCTTAATGGATGTCTTTAAGGTAAGAACATTTTTTTTGAGAATGGTGACATATTCACAACTTTTCTATAGGAAAACCTCTAAATACGAAACACTTAAGTAGCATTTAAATTTTTGAAATTCTTAATTTTTATTGTAAATTATGAATAATTGTAGAATACTTAAATAAAAATCTACATTATTAAGTTAAATTTTATTACATATATTATTATTCAATATATCTTATGTTAACCTTCCAGTCATTGATATAATATTGCATCAACAAAATATGACTTATACGTTGTCAATTAGTATTTAGTTGTGTTTATGATGCCAATACAAACGTATTTTTTTCATAAATGTTAATTTTTAGATATATTTAATAATTATAAAAATAAAATATCTCCCTCTAAATAGCTGATAAAATTGCAGTAATTAACAGTGTCCGATATTTAGAAATTTTACTGTATTAACTTGTTGAGCATTACATACACACAAATGTTATTCAATTACAAAATGATGAGAACACTTAATTCAAGTAAAAATTATTTATCTAATATAAAATAGATAAAAAAAAGTTTGTTTTAAATCCCAAATTTCCTTGGATATAAATTAACATTAAATTATAGATCTGAACTAAGACATCAGAAATTATTATGCTTTATATATGGTAAATTAAATGGTTAATATATATTCTAAATACAATAATATTTCTAATGTAAATTAAATTTAAATCCAAATTAATTCATAATAAAAATTTATAATGATCAAGAAATTAAATTGTAGAATAATACTAAGCTAATTATTAATATATATATATCCTTTAATTATTAGAACTTTTGGTTGGAATGGATTACATTTTAAGATTTTACTTACATTGGTGAGGATAATAATGTTGATTAGCCCATAGTTCATGTTGACCTTTTTGTAATAATTCTTTTGCAAGTGGTACATCTATAATATTTTTATTGTCATCGAAACGTTTTCTTAAGCGCACAATATTAATTCGCATTAGTGGCCTATATTAATAATAATATAAAATGATAAATATTTATAATTTATAGGTTTGATATAAATTTTTAGTTGGATATGCATTATTTAAACATATATTGTAAAATATTGTATTAAAGTTAACAATATATGTTTAAACAATAACTATTATATTATAGTTAAAGTATATACAATCATACATTTTTCTTAGTACCAGAATTAAGTCAATATATATAAACTTTAATATGAAAGTAAATCATCTAGTAAATCATCTAGTTCAGGGGAAACCAACTTTTTTTAAATAGCATGAAAAAATGTTGTAATTTTTAATTATTAAGTTTTTATGTAATGGTGGTTTATAGTTATGATTAATAATATAATAATTATTTCAATAATATTTGAGTTCACATTAGATTTAATTTAAATTATAATAATTTGAATGTCATCTTCAACAATGACCTTTAGAATTATAATAAACAAATAGGTATAGTTTATATATTTGGGAACTTTAAATTTATAAAAATAAAAAAATAATTGTTGAACTTGAATAAAAATCGATAATGATTAATCACTTTAAGTGTATTTTATAAATTGATTGCATTCTATGGCATGATTTTTTAGTATAGTTTTTGTTACAAATGTGAGAACCCAATTTCTTTAAAACATAGATATGTAAAACAAAATAACAATTATTTATTATTTTAATAATTTTTAATAGTATATTAATAATGCACTTTACAGTACCAACATGAATTAGATACTATTTAATAATAAAATATTTTACCTGTAATGGTACCAATCCTCGATGGTCCTACATGCTTTTTTATAGAGCGAACATACTTGTCTTTTATGAGTGATTATTTCATACGGTATGTAAGACATAATGAACCCAAATAAAGAATTTGTTCAATTAAATACAAATTATTCAAACGCAAAATGCAATAACTAATGTCGCATACTTTGGTGATTTATTGAAAATTTTCATAGTTCATTCTTATCAATCTTATCACTTAACAATAAGTATATTTTTTTAATTTATAATCATATCAAGAAAATAAAACATATGTTTTTCCTCAATGAAATTTGAATTCCCAAATATTACAGTTACAGTTTTATGGTTTTATATTATACTCTGTTCGAAATTATTAACTGTATACATTCCATACAGATTATTATATTATTATGTAATTTTACCAATAATCATATTTTGATAATGCAGAAATTAGATCTAGATTTTGATTTTGAAGACAAAAAACCTTAATTAGTCTTCATAGTTCTTTACAAAAATTAGATCACCGAAATTACAAAAACTAACAAGACAGCTTTTAAGCAGTCTTACACGTTACGTTACCGTAGAGCATAAACATTAAATCAAAATCTTAGAATAATTGTACATGGCGCTAAATTATTTAAATTATTTATCAGATTATTTGTTTTCCCGGTATAAAATATCACTTGGTTTGGTGCCCCTGAATGATAAGCGATTTCATTCAGTGGAATATCAGTGATAAAAAATTGTTTGGTTTTGCTTTGCATATCGGTCAATTTTTCGAAGAAACGGTTACATGCTTGTAACGTGACTTCAATCGTTTTTATATTTTTTTAAAATTTAATTCTACTGATAAACTAATACTCATTTAAGTTTAATTTAATATCTATATTTGTTTTCGAATCCTAGTAACTAGGTGAACTTAAGTATTTAGTACATATTTTACCTCGAACTTATTAAAAGTTAATCAAGGTTCGTTTGTGATTGTTGAAAAAAATATTATATTGCATTGTATGATAGTTAATAGTGGCTTTATTTTGTTTTGTTTTAGATGGATATGTCAACTGATAATATTAATAATTTGATAAAATGTCTTCAAGCCACATTAAGTTCTGATCCCATTGAACGGAAGCAAGGTTTGTTTAACTGATAATATTGATAATATTTTGTTTAAAACAATGTATAATCAATATTGCTTTATTTATACATTTTTAGCTGAAAACTTCTTACTTTCAATTGAATGTAACAAAAACTATCCATTATTATTACTACATATAATCAATGCACCAAATGATGCTAATGTTGATTTGGTTAAAAAAATTGGAGCTGTTACATTTAAAAATTATATAAAACGTAACTGGCCTATTGTAAGTATATTAGTAAATATTACTCTACAATTTAAATAATCAATTTATTTTAAAGCATTTGTAATTGCTAATTTTTCATAGAAGTTTCACGAGAGAAAGGTATCGAGCATCTTCCAAAAAATGGTTGTTGCTACATATTCCCTATTATATTTATTATCACTGACAATTACTTGGAGGAAATTTAATGTTCTGCAAATATTTAGCAATAGCAAATTTGTACCTTTCCCTTGTTGAAACTTTACAATTATATTTCTTTTATTATGCAAGTCAAATGTCAAGAATAAAGCATAGAGAATATCTTACTTATATATTGACATTAGTATATTAGTGGTGTATTCACTCGAGGTTAGAACTCAACAACTGGAATATTATATATATATATATATATACAAAAGGAATATTTACAAAAAACAAAATTAGAATATCAAAAAAATTGTATAGAGGGTTTTATACTTTAAAAAAAAATTAAAATCAATAATTATTCAAGTATGAGTCTTAGTGAAACAGTAACTTAAGTTATTTTTTTAAAAATGGAGTATTTATGAGTATAACATAATTTATTTACATTTCTATTCCCATATATATAAATAACTTAATATATTTATTATAATTATTATCCTTCGAAGTTTTAAATAAATAAAAATAAGTGATTATAGTTAATTGATTAATTTGTTTTTATTGTATATAACTTAAAATACTAAAATATTTTTTTTTTTTTTGTTTTTGATTTAAATTTTAGGATGAAGACACCTTACAAAACAAAATTGATCAAGAAGACCGCTTATTAATAAAAGATCAAATTGTTTCTGTAATGTTGAATGCTCCAGAAGCTGTGCAAAAACAGTTAAGTGATGCTATTTCACTTATAGGTCAACATGATTTCCCAGATAATTGGCCAAATCTATTACCGACAATTATTGAAAATTTTGGATCATTTATTGGTTTGTATAAAATTTTTTCTTAATATCTCATAAATATTTAAAATAGTTAATATAAGTATAATATTATGGAGCTGTTTTATCTAGCCGCACCTACAAGAGATTTAACTCCTATTAATGGAGCTTTGGAGACAGCTCATTCATTGTTTAGAAAATATAGATATGAGCTCAAATCTCAGAAACTTTGGACTGAAATAAAATTTGTTTTAGATATTTTTGCAAAGCCTCTTACTGAATTGTTTGTCGTAAGTTTTTATCAATATATATTTATAGTATATACAATATACATTAATTCTTTTAGAAGTATGTTAATTAGTAAAAATTATATCATTCATTTATTGACAAGTTTTTTTACATTTTTTTTCAGTTTACTATGAATTTATGTGAAGTATCAAAAGATCCTAAACTTTACATTATAGTACTTACTCTGACTAAAATATTTTATTCGTTAAATTATCAGGTAAATGGATATTTATATTTTTATTATATACACATAATAATATATAAATATTATTGTTGAATAGGATCTTCCAGAGTATTTTGAAGACAACATGCAACTTTGGGTTACGAATTTCCAAAAATTGTTGGAACTAGAAATAAAAGAATTAGAGACAGAAGTATTATTTTATAATAAATTAATTGATTATACTAATTTATTAATTATAATTGTTTATCTTTGAAGAGTGAAGAAGAAACTGGTGTGCTACATCAAATTCAATCACAAATTTGTGAAAATATATCATTATATGCTCAAAAATATGAAGAAGAATTTTCATCTTATATGCGAACATTAGTTACAATTATTTGGAAGTTATTAATTAAGACTGGATCACAACCTAAATATGATACAGTATATAATAATTTAATTATTTTTTTTTTTTTTTATAATTTTTGAAGCATTTTAAAAATTGTTTGTATTTTATTAAGCTTGTCATAAATGCCTTACAATTTTTATCAACTACTGTTGCAAAGCCACAGTATCGTGATTTATTTGATGATCCATCAGTTTTCTCTGCTATATGTGAAAAAGTTGCTATTCCTAATATGCAGTTTAAAGGTAAAAAAAAAAAAAAAAAAAAAAATGGTATAAATATTTATACTGTTCTTGTATTGTAATAATTATATTTATATTATAGCATCTGATGAAGAATTATTTGAAGATAACCCAGAAGAATATATTCGAAGAGACATTGAAGGTTCTGATGTAGATACTAGAAGAAGAGCTGCATGTGATCTAGTTAAAGTTCTTTCTAAGGAGTTTGAACAAGTGACCATGTCTTCATTTGGTTTATATATAAAGGTAAATTTAATTGTATTCCATTTTAAGTTTTATTTTATTTCTATGTATTTTACATTTTGAAAATATTTTACAGTCTATGTTAGAACAATATGCAGCTGATCAACAAAATTGGCGTAGCAAAGATGCTGCTTTATTTTTGGTCACAACGCTTGCATCACGTGGAAGTACACAACGCCATGGGACTACCAAAATTAGTCAACTTGTTAATCTAGAAGAATTTACTACAATGCATGTATTACCTGAGTTAGCAAATACAAATAGTGAGTACAAAATATCTTCCTAAATGTATATTTTTAACAAATTATTGTATGTATAATATTTTTCATATATGAATATTTTATATATTTAGTTAATGGAATGCCTGTGATGAAAGCTGATGCTATTAAATACATAGTGACATTCCGTAGTGTATTACCTCCACAAGTTATTGTTAGTACATTACCAGCCCTCACAAAACTTTTAGAAGCCGAGAGTGTAGTGGTTAGGATTTATGCTGCTGCTGCAATTGACAAAATTTTACTTTTAAAACAACCTGATACCAAAACTCCAGTGTCAGTATATTTATATATATCATTATTATTTTTTATTATTATTTTTTGTATATACATATTAGAGTTGGTGACATGAATAAACGTTTGTCATTTCAGTCTTCAGCCCTTATAGATAGTTATTTAAATTTTTCCAAGTATACACATTTAATTTAGGGTTTTTAAAATTTAAAACTAAATAGTTCTTTCAATAATCTTAATTTTTATTTATTAATAATTCTAATGTTTAGGGTCACTGCTGAAATATTGTCACCATTTGCAGAACAACTTATTAAATCTCTCTTTGGAATTCTAACAAAACCAGGTTCTGAAGAGAATAGTCACACAATGAAAGGTAAATATTTTTTTGCTTCTTTAATTCTGCAATTCCATATAGCAATTATGTATCATTAACTATGCATAGCTATAATGAGAACATTTTTCACTTTGAAACAACAAATAATTCCTCTCTTGGCTGAACTTTTGCCTGTATTAACTGATAAACTTGCAATTGTTGCACGCAATCCAAGTCAACCAGAATTTAATCATTTTCTATTTGAGACCATTTCATTTTGTGTAAAGTAAGTTTTATTATTTATTTTCTTATTTTGTTAAAATTATAATATTAAATGTTGTACTAGACTATAATATATTTATAATTAAATTATAGTATTAAGTTTTTAAGATATTTAAACATTGATAATTGAGACTGGAAAATATTAATTTATCAATTTTTGATCGCAGACTAACACTATTTGAAAACATATACAATTGTGTATATATTTATGTATATTTGGTATTTTGTATAACATTTGTATTTTGTGATAGATTGGTTTGTACTGTTACACCTGAAGGTGTGAGTTCCTTTGAAGGAGTATTGTTTCCTATATTTCAAATCATTTTGCAGCAAGATATTTTGGGTATGATGAACAGAATGTTTTTTTTTTTAAATAACCTACTTCATTATTCTTATTTTTAATGGTTTTCATTTATACAGAATTTATGCCCTATACATTCCAACTTTTGTCTCAACTACTTGAATTTCATAGTGTTGGTAATGTGAGTGAGACTTACACAATTTTGTATCCATTTTTATTGACTCCTGCTTTGTGGGAGAAAACTAGTAATATTCACCCATTAGTTAGACTTTTAAGATCATATGTCCGTAAAACTTCTCCAGAAAATTTTGAAAAGTCTTTGAATATAGTAAGTATTTTATAAAACGTAATTTTTACGGTCATTAAACATTATTTAATTTTTTTTTAGAATGGACTTTTAGGTGTGTTCCAAAAACTTATAGCATCAAGATCGCAGGATCAAGAGGGATTCAGATTATTGAAAACTATGATAGAGCATTGTCCTATGTTTGTAAAATTTAAGATGTTTGTTTTACAAATTTTGATTTAAATTTCAATAAATTAATGATTTACAGGGAAGTTCTACAACCTCAAATGAAAAATATATTTGTTCTCTTGTTTCAACGACTAACTTCATCTAAAACAACTAAATTTATCCGTGAACTTATTGTATTTATATTCTTCTGTGTCATCAAATATGGAGCAACATTTATGGTGGATCTTGTAGATTCAATTCAAAATGGGTTTGCAACTAATATAAATAATTTATTTTGTTATATACCCATTATTATAATAATAAAAGAAATATGCAGGCGTTGAGACCAGATTTAAATGGAGACATGAATTCATGTGTGGAAGAATTTATTTTTAACAGTAAAGGGCCTAAATGGGCTGTAATACTATTAAAAAAAAATATGTATATATTAATAAAAAAAACTTATTAAATTCTGTGATTATGACTAGGTTTTGAGGACTTAATAGATTTCTTTTTGTAAATTTTTGATATTGTTTAAATTGCATATATTTGTAGTTTTCTTATTTTGAGTAATTTTATTGAATACGGGCACTATATTTGTATATTATTAGTGTTTTATAAAATCATTATATTATGTAAAGTAATATTATGTACAATTTATATTTTAGAATGTTTGGTATGTTATTGGAGAAAATTATATTGCCCGATATTCAAAAAATAACTGGAAATATAAATAAGAAAATTGCAGCAGTTGGTATTATTAAAGTACTTACAGACACACCAAAAGTAATTGATGGACCATATGCACAGTTTTGGTATGTTCTTTATTTTAATTTTTATATACTGTACATATTATTAAGTTCCACTCAAGTAATAACATTTTGTTGGAAAGTTATCTATAATAATATTGCATAAAAGTAATAATTACTTTTACTGTCACTTTTTATAACTTTAGTGTTCTGCTAACAAATATAACTTTGACTGTTGTTCTATGAATTGTTTATTTATATATATATATTATTTATTGAAAATATAGTTTTATTGATATTTATATGAACAAATCAAGCAATTTGAAAATAATGTTGCAGGTCTCTTCTTCTCCAATCTGTGGTTTGCTTGTTTGAACTTCCAGAAGATGAAACAGTATATTCTGAAGATAAACTACTTCAAGATGACAATGATAATTCATATGAAGCAGGTTACTCTCAGCTTGCATTTGCAAGTGAAACTGAATATGATCCTTTGCAAGGTAAGTAATAATTAAAAAGTAAAATTTGATATGATCTAATATTTAAATATGATGTACCCTTAGGAGTAGAAGCAAAATCGTTTCTAGCTCTATCATTAACAAAAATAATGAGCCAAATACCTGGACGGATTCCTGTATTGATGAGTCAAGGTCTCACTGAAGAGCGACGTGCACAAATACAAAACTACTTAATAAGCCTTAATGTACAAATGATGTGAAACTTATTAGTAACTCATTGAAAGTTCCCAAATACATTTAGTTTTGAGTTTTGTATTGATTTAACCATATTAATTATAAAAATTATTAATTATTTGATTAATTTTGCTGTAAACTAAAAAATCCTTTTTATCCAAGTAATTTTTTTTCAAACTAAAAAATAACAAGTTGTATATGATCTAATTATATTTTAATGTATATATTTTTTTTATCTTGTTTTCAACATCATTACAGTAAAGTATATTCCAGAATTTAAAATTATTTTAATTTATTTTCCAGAGATAACTTTCTAGTATTTGCAATAAAATGAATTATTTGAAAAGTATTCTTTAAATAAAAAACAATTAGAAGAGAAGAGTAACAAGACAATATTTTAATCAGTGTTTTGTTTAAAACAACTAAATAAAAGAAACTTCTATTAATAAAGGTAAAAAAAACTATAGTAGAATTTTAATTTACTTAAAATGTATACTTAATTTGGACCACACGTCCATACATTATTGATTATATTCATATTTCACATTAAGTTATGCAATTGATGAAAAAAACCTAGTATTTTCTATTTATTTTATCAAGATATTTTCTAATTGATAGGAAAAAAGTTTAAATAATTGTGATCTTGGTATATGGTAATATTATACTATCATTGTTAAATATGTTACGGACATACATAATGTAGGTCCTTGCAAATATATTACATGGGAGCACCACATAATCGAGTGGTTAATATATATATATAATATATGGGAGTGTGAATGACATGAGGGCATATCGTCTTTAATGTAGAAGTGTGAAAGCTAGTTAAGTAATGGAACCACTTAATGAACATACGAGAGTATATATATTATATTCCATATATTAAAATCCATATTGACAAGGATAACCTGTCAATTGAAAGATTACTTAAAAACTCATACCAGTTCCTGGTCGAGATATTAATTTATTGGGAAAGTTACAATGCCATACAGGTAGATTCCCACAGAATCAGTATATAAGGGGGTTTAGAATAGTCCAATATTCAGACGTGTTTTAGTCCGACTCTAGTAAGCACCTTTACGCCAGTTTAATTAGCAATTTAATTAAATACTAGTACTTAGAAATATTTTTATAAACAGTTTAACTAAGTTTGAGTACTTTTATTGGAATTATCCTAACACACATCTTCATATGAACTGTTGAATTGGCCGCACAAAAAAAAAACATTTATCATAATTTTGCAGCTAAATATTTTTCCTTTATTTTTTAAACTTCAATTAATGTTGACAATGAAATATTATTATACAGTATGTACCGTTTTTTTTCTTTTTATTAACATGTCAAAAACTGATTGCTTGTAAACAGCTCATCCATTAATACATCCATGAGCCAGTGCATATTTCGACGTCCGTGAAGTTGGCCCCCCCACTTTGTCTTATCGAATTCAAACCTTCACCAATATTTTGGAACTATTTGGAACCAACTTTTTATAATTTGGAACTTCACCCTTTTCTCGAAATAAGAAATTTTCGGTCGGGGGGGGCCAACTTCACGCAGCCCCCCCACTTTGTCCTATCGACTTCAAACCTTTACCAATATTTTGGAACTAATTTGAAACTATTTGGAACCAAGTTTTCATAATTTGGAACTTCACCCTTTTCCCGTAAAAAAAGTTTTTAGGTTGGAGGGGAATAACTTCTCGCAGCTCCTCCCACTTTGTCCTATCGACTTCAAACCTTCACCAATATTTTGGTACTAATTTGGAACTATTTGGAACCAAGTTTTCATAATTTAGAACTTCACCATTTTCTCGAAATAAGAAATTTTCGGTTGGGGGGTCAACTTCACGCAGCCCCCCCAATTTGTCCTATCGACTTCAAACCTTTACCAATATTTTGGAACTAATTTGGAACTATTTGGAACCAAGTTTTCAGAATTTGGAACTTCACCCTTTTCCCGTAAAAAA